ACTCGGGAAACAGCACAACAAGGATGTGCCGCAGCCCCCGGTGATTACTGAGACTGCAATTTATGTAATTATATTAATGCTAAGTACATTCGGAGCAGTAAGTTCAAGGGAACTGATGACACTATAGAGGACAGTTTAACACTGAGCAGTAACTCCAGCAAAAAGGGGGGAGAAAAAAAAGTCCCTAATTACTCAGTAGCTCTTCTCCCAGATTCTCAGGGTCAGCTTGGAGGAGAAGGTGGCCTGAATTATATTTTCGTTTCCAGAACATCAACAGAATTGCTAAGTGAGTTCCAGCAGCAGTGTCAAAGCCTGCCCATTGGTATGCGTGCCAGCCCTGTCCCCTCCCCGGCTCTGCAGGGCCAGGCAGGGCTGGGCTGCCGTGTCCCTGCCAGCGCTGCCACCACCGAGCCCTGCTATCCCGGGGACACAGGACCAGCTCCTGTGCCAGTGTTTGTCCTGGTCCCCAGCACGGACAGACAAACTGCAACAACCAATTCCTCAGAAGCCAGGTGTAGCCTGCATGTCTGAAGGTGCAGGAGCCTGTCCAGGATAAGCCTGAGGAGCAAACAGCCCAGTCCAGCCAGCAGAGGTTTGTGCCCACCCAGCCCTCTCCAGAGTGCCTGTTGGCACAGCCACAGCCCCTGGCAGATGTGGAGCCTGTGCCAGGGCATGCAGAGCTGGGAAGGACTGTGCCCACACATAGAGCTCTTCCCCTGCATGCCCACCTGGAGCCACGGAAGCATTTTGGAGCCCCCGTGCTAGCCACAGTCCTGTCACTCCTCACAGGTTCCTTTGGTGCCAACAAGCTCTCACACAGATTGTGCCATCAGTGCTGATGTGCTCCAAGAGCCTCAGTCTGCAAATCCAGCTTTACAGCAGCTACCAATGCACACTGGGCTTCTGCATTGCTCCATTGAGACTTGAACCTTTACAGGGGCCTGGAATGCCAGGACACAGGGAATGGTTTCCACTGCCAGAGGGCAGGGATGGATGGGATATTGGGAATCAGGAATTTTTCCCTGGCAGGGTGGGCAGGCCCAGGCACAGGGTGCCCAGAGCAACTGGGGCTGCCCCTGGATCCCTGGCAGTGCCCAGGGCCAGGCGGGACATTGGGGCTTGGAGCAGCCTGCGATGGTGGAAGGTGTCCCTGCCATGGCAGGGGATTGGAATTGGATGAGTTCAAGGCTCCCTTCCAACCCAAACCATTCTGGGATCCAATGACTCTGCACCTCTGAAATGCTGAGATCTGCCTGCAGAGCTGCCCCAAGGGCCAAGGTCAGTGCTGGAAGCTAAAGGTGCATTATGACCACTCCACACAAAGCCAGGACAATGACTTGTTTTGCTCCTACATCACAGAACACAAAGCTGCCGGAAAAGCCAGGGCAGAAGAACTCTGCAAAGACTACACAAAAGAGGAGACCCCACAAGCCTCATGTGACCCCTGTGTCTGATTGAAAACCAAACCCAAATTAAATGAGCAGTCACAAGTTTGGTGTCTCAGGATTGCACTCAGAGCTCTCCTGGTGCCTTCCAAGATCAGCAGCCGCATCCAGCAACAGGGAACATGCAGAAGGCAACTCAGTGATGATTAGGAAGACACATATGAAGTTATCCATCACAGAACAACCTGTGTTCACCTACATGTCCTGCAGTACAATCAGAAATCAATAGCAAGATGCAGAAACCCTCAACCACTCAGTAAAATATAAAGAACAATTGTAATATTGATTTTAAAAGCACCTCTGTAAAGACAGTTGAGAAGAAGCCTGAGAAAGCAAAGCAAAATGCCTGAATTGAAACCTTTTTTTTTCCCTCAGAAAGACATTAATAATGGATTTTCAATGCAAGAAGAAAAACTGAAACCCACACCAGATTCTCCTGGTAATACCAGCTCTCTGCAAAGCCCAGCTATTAATGTAACAGGGACGTCCATCAATCAAGCACACAGAAAGTACTTTGAGAGCTAAAAAAAGAGCATGCAAACATCTGCTTTTGGCAACTTAAATTTTGTCCTTAAGCATAAGGAGCATAATAAATTATCAGGAGGTTGGGCTTGAACTTGTTTTCCTCCATCCTGGGCCTAAATGCTGAGGATAAGGATGAAGGTACACAACATGCTGCTGCTGAGATTTGTCATGACAAAAAGTGGGCGAAAGGAGCACGATTTCATTTGTGTTTTCATCTGAAAACACTGGTGCAAGAGGACACCAAGCAGGGGTGTAGCATCTCCCTGTCTGCAGTTCAGGGAGCTCCTGTGAACCCTTTTCCACCTCCAGCATCCTCAGCACATCCAAGACTTCTGGAGTGGTCCCACAGTGGAGTGACAATGTGCCAGTGTGCTCCAAGGTGCCCATGGCTCCCTCCTCGCCCAGCTCCTTCCCTGCTCCCTGTGGAGCTGTGGTGATTTTGGCAGCTCCTCAGTCCCTCAGTGTTCTCTTCAACCATCAAATCACACTTGGGGTCCATCCATGCAGCCAAGCACTGCCTGGGGTGTCCCAGCAACCCCAGAAAAGCTGGATTGGCACCAGGGGAATGGCTGCAGAAAGCAGCTGGGGTGTCCCCACGCCTCCAGTGTCTCCCCCCTTTAAAACACAGCAGGTCAGAGCAAGTGCTGGAGAAAATGAACACAATTTACGGATTCCAGCACAGGAGGCTGCAGGCATGGCTGCAACTAAGTCTTCATAAATTCTGAAGAGTGACAACATAAAATGGCATTACGCAAGGCTGTATTTATTGTCTCCCCATGCTTCCATCTCCAAGGTGCCACGTTACACTTAATAACAGTTTTCTCCCCAGCTGCCAGTGTTGCAAACCCTGACAAGCTAATGGTTGGGCCAGCCCTCCCCAAACACACACATCTCACCCAGTACACAGCTTCCATGGCAAGAACAGGCAAAAAGGATTAAACCAGTGCTGCCCAGCCTGTCCCCTCCATGCTGGCTCTGCAGGGCTCCATGCCACGCAGCTGGACAGGACTTTTGCCCCTGGAAGTGATGCAGAGGAGGAGCAGCTGCTGTGGGGTGGTACCTGCATGCCCAGTGTCCTGCTGGGACAGGAGCATCCCTGCCCTGCCCTGCTGGGAACACCAAGGCCCTGCCAGCAGAGCAGCCCCACCTGAAACTACTGCCTGCTGTCACAGCAAGCTCTGGGCAAGGCACCAGCACAGCCCTGGGGGGAACCATGGGGAACCACGGATCCTTATGGAGAACCAGAGATCCTCATGGAGGACCATGGAGAACCAGAGGTCCTCATGGAGAACCATGGGGAACCAGAGGTCCTCATGGAAGACCATGGAGAACCAGAGAACGCCTGGTTCCTCGTGCCAGAAGGACAGGAAACCTCACCATTCAGCATTCCCAGCTCCACTACCACTGCAGTGTGCACTTCCATGGTTCCATATTTAGCTTTTGGACCATGGATACAGTTTTTCTGGAGCAAAATCTCCACTGAGCTTCTTGTTCTCCCTGCTGGTGTAGTGTTCAAAGCCTGCAACAAAATCACTTTGAGCTTCAGGCTGAGCCTTGGGTGTGGATGGAGACTTGACAAGTATAAAGATGCTGCTGTTCCATCCCTGCCTGCATCGCCTGCACTGCAGAAGGAACAAAAAAAAAAAAGAATGTGAACCATCTTTAGTTCTCTTCAGAATACAAAAAGGTAACAAAAATCCCGAAACTCACATATATCAGTTTATCAAGTACAGCAAACAGTACAAACAGGAGTGCAGGTGTGTTTGGCCTGAGAAAACTCGCAGTGGATGGAGATGAGTGTGAACATGTCCTCACCCAGTGTCCCCCCTCTCTGGCCTCCGTGTCCCTCCACTCTTGCCAGCTGACAGCGACCAGCTCTCCTCAGCAGCCTGGCTCTGCTCCTCCTCTAGGACAAGTCCTTTCCCCTTCAGAAAGCAAACCAAAGGTTTAGAGAGCATCTGAAGAGATCAGTGTGTGGAAGGATGATGAAACAGGAGTCAAGTGAAAAGTGGTAGATAGAGACAGGCGATCGGAAGATCACGCAATGTGACAGAAAGCGGTAGGACTCCTTTTCCCCTAATCTCTTAAGATAAGAGATCACTTTATGAATGTAACTAGGAATGTAGCCCCCCTAACGATAGTAATGCCAGTAACTTTCCACTCCTGGTAACATTCCACTCCTTACTAACCATAGATGGTATTGCAGACCCCCTCTGACGTAGAGAAGCCCTTAGACTATAAAACCCCAGGAGAAGAGATAATAAAGGCCTTTGACCATCTACCACATTGGTGTCTGCGTGCTCTTTGGCCCAAGCGACCCTGGAGAGTTTGGTCGCCGCGCTGTTCCTTGAAACCAGGTCGCCTTGCCTTGTATCAGAAGGCAACAACTGGTGCCAACACCTGGGAAGAAGCTCGGGTAACGGGAATTCGCCTGGACAGAGGACGGCGGCTGCAGCGGCGGGACCGTCTGCAGCGGGGGGGACACCCCCGGACCAGCGTGGACCATGGAGGCCATAGCGAAGGTCGTAACTCAGATGCATGCGCAATGGGGTATTGAGTGTAAGATTAAAGATTTAAGTCTTGCATTGCTGAGACTGATTAAGCTTGGGGCTATAGAAAGCCCGATAGATATCCTCCATTCAAGGGTTTGGGATAATTGTACAAAAGCTCTGGCCGAGGAAGCTATGTCCTCAGGCTCAGGGAAAGCCCTAAAATCGTGGGGCAGAGTTATCCAAGCTCTGCAAAAAGCTCGACAAGAGGAAGAAACCTGGAAAGCCGCGCAAGCTTGTTTATTGGCCACGTCGCAGTTGGGGGTGGGCGCGGCGACGCAAACCGCGGAGGATTTTGACGCGGGCAAGTGCGCAGAGGTGGGAACGTCGGAACCCCCTCAGCGAGCGGACTCACCATCGGAGGTGGGGGAACACGCGTGGGCCTTCTGGCAGGGGCTCGCGGAGGAGGCGCGGAACGCGGCCTGATTGTCAGACCCCGTAGAGATCGATAAAAACGCCCCCCCAACTTATGCGTTTGAAAATGGCGCCGAACCGCATGTTCACGGCGGAAAGGAAGACACGGAGGGCGGAAATGCAGTCAGCCTGCTTAACAACACATGCGTGGGCGAGCGGGGAGAAGGGGCGGCCCCTGCGGAGGAGCGTAAGACCAATCAGAGCGCTATATTCAAATTAGGTCCCTATAAGGCAAGGACCTCCCCCAGCAGGAGGCGGGGGGACCCCAGGGAGAGGGGACGGCCAAACCCCTGCAAGAAGGGGCGGGGTCGGAGCCCGAGAAAACGGCTGAGCAGCCCGGAAACATCCATCCAGTCGACTTCCAGCTCAGCCTCGGACTCGAGCTCCGAGCTCGAGAGGGAATCGGAGGATTCCGATTCGGATTCTAGATTTAACAGAAAGAGAGCAGCGGCATGTAAGGTCACTAGTCACAGCGCTCCCGTGTGGGTGAAGGGGTTATCAGAGAAAGACCGAACCCCGCTTACAGACTGGCGGAAAATAAAAATAGCGTGCGCAGAGTGGGCTCAGTCTGCCACACTGGTGTTCCCGGTCCGTGTCGGGGGGGCAGGCAGAAATCAAAGGACCTATTCCCCGGTAAACCTGAAAGACGTGCAGGCAATTATTAAAGTGATTGCAGACAAGGGAATTAATTCTGCCATGGTTTCCACACTCATTGACGGCGTTTTTGGAGGGGACGACATGTTACCCTTTGATATTAAGCAGACCTGCAGAATGATTTTCGATGGGGCAGGGATGATTGTTTTTAAACAAGAGTGGGAGGACGACTGCATAAAGCAGCTAGCCTTGGTAACGGGAGCTGACCATCCACTGCACAGCTCCAGCATACAGAGGTTAATGGGAACAGACCCCACTATGATCACCCCCCAGGCGCAGGCTGAGGGCTTGCGGGCCCATGAGGTTATGACAACAACTCGTGCTGCCCGAGAAGCCATCCGTGTTGCTTCCAAAGTAATAGCCAAAACCTCCCCATGGTCATGTATAAAACAGAGTGAGAGTGAGAGCTTCACTCAGTTTGTGGACCGTCTTCAGGCAGCATTAGATTCCTCTGCATTACCCTCAGAGGCGAAGGGTCTTGTGGTAGCAGAGTGCCTACGCCAGCAATGCAACTCAGTCACCAAGGACATTTTAAGATCACTGCCGCAGGGGTCTAATATAACTGCCATGATCAGACACGGTACAAAGGAGGAACACCTAGCTCCCATTCAAGCAGCAGTTCACACTGCAATAACCAGTGTGATGGCGTGCCTTAAGTGTGGCCAGGCAGGCCACTTGGCAGTAAACTGCCCCCAGCCAAGACGCTCATCAGCAGCTGCTCCACCACGCCAAGGGGGACTTAGGGGACCATGGTGGGCATGTGGAAGGAAGGGGCATTTAGCTAAGGAATGCAGATCTAGACCTCAAGAAAATGGGAGAGGGAGGGGGCAGCCGGGCCGTATCCAGCCTCCTCCCACCTGGAATATGCAGCGGCCCAGCTACAGCAACCCCCAGTGGGGCAGGGGACCCTCATACCCCATGCCCCCATAGGGAGCAGTCAGTTTCGCATCCCCGCCAGCAGCACAATGGCAGAGTTGTGCAGCACCTCCAGAAATACTTTCGCACCCTCCACCGCCACAAGCCGCACCGGTGCCACAGAGCCAGCAGGGGATGCCCCAGAGCGGGACCCCTGGGTGGCCCTTGCCATGAAAATAGGGAAGGAACCCCTGATGGTGTGGGGGACATGCTGCCTTTATGGCAGTCAAGATCCCCACGTCATAGGATTTCAGTTTTGGACGGACACGGGATCAGACTGCACAATTTTTCCCCAAGCACATTGGCCCGGACATTGGCAATTCAAAGAAGTCCCTCCAGTGAACGGAGTGGGAGGGCAGTCCCGGGCATGGAAAAGCACCCAGCTGGTGGCTATAACACTTCACACGAAAAAGGGACCAGAACAGACAGTAGCAATCTACCCCTACATTTTGCAAAATTCTCCACCCCTGATAGGAAGGGACGTCCTTGCTATGCTAGGAGTCAGGATTTCAAATTTATCATGAGGGCCACTGCCGTACACCCTCCGCTGCCAATCACATTGACTTGGAAATCATCAGACCCCGTATGGGTCGAGCAGTGGCCCCTGACAGAGCCTCGAGCGGCAGCCTTGCTGGAACTGGTCGACTGCAAACTGCAAAAGGGTCACATAGAACCCTCCATCAGCCCATGGAACACCCCTGTATTCGTGATCCCCAAAAGGTCCGGAGAAGGTTATCGCCTCATCCACGACCTGAGAGAAGTGAACAAGACAATCTGACCCATGGGTCCAGTTCAGACACTGCTACCCACGAACACAACCATCCCCGCAGGGCAGCCATGCGCAGTGCTGGACATCAAAGACAGTTTCTTCTCGATACCCCTGCACCCTGAGGACAGAGAACGATTCGCCTTTTCCGTGGCATTTCAGAACGGCGAGCGGCCCAACCTCCGCTTCCAATGGCGAGTATTACCACAAGATCTGGTAGACAGCCCCACTATATGTCAAATCACCGTGGACAAAGCATTGATGCCAGTCCAACACTCCCACCCCACTGTGACCATCATTCAATACATGGACGACATCCTAGTCGCAGCACCATTGGCAAGCCAAGTAGATCACCTGGTGTCCACAATCACGGAAACCCTTCAGGCCAACAGCTTCGAGATCACAAGCGCAAAGATCAAGACAGGACCCTGCATGACCTTCTTGGGAGTGGGGACCACAAGCTCCTACGTGACACCCCCCAAGGCAAAGGTCAGTCGAGACATCAAGATGCTCCATGACGTACAACGCCTGGTGGGATCGCTGCAGTGGCTTCGCAACATCATCCTGATTCCTCCCGAGGTCATGGACCCTTCATATGACCTCCTGAAAGGAAAGCACCCCTGGGAACCCAGGGAGCTGACGCTGCAAGCAATGAGCTCCCTCGACTTCATCGAAAGCCAGATGACCACTGGCACACTTGCCAGGTGGAACCCAGCCATGCCACTGGACCTGTACGTCCACTTTACACCGAATGGGGGAGTGGGAACACTGGCTCAAGGAGTTTCCGAAAAGGCCCAACCAATCCAATGGGTGGTCCTCGGAAGACCTGCTCGTGCATTCTCCCCGGGAATCGAATGCATCGCTAACCTCATCATGAAAGGCAGGAAACTTGCCTTGAAACACCTAGGAACCGAGCCGACAAGCATCCACCTTCTGTTTCGCGAGCAACCGACCACGGAGTCAGCCACAATATCGGAGTACCTAGCCCTTGCTCTCACCGGCTTCGGAGGAGAAATCTCCTATTCTGCCACACCGCCCTGGACTCAGCTGCTGACCGTAGTCGACATGGACATGCCGCCAAAGGTCAAGGACTGACCACAGCCAGGACCAACGGTCTTCACAGACGCTTCCTCCATGACCTCAACTGCAACGGCAGTGTGGCAGGCAGGAGAGCAATGGCATTGCGTCAAAGTGTGTGACTCCACACTGTCAGTGCAACAACTGGAGGCAGCAGCAGTGGTTTTGGCGTGTGGACTCTTCCAAGAAGAACACCTCAACATAGTAATGGACTCTATATTCATGGCAAGGCTTTGCCTAGCCATGGCAGGACCAGGAGTGTCAACATCTGCAGCAGCCCTAATGCTGGAAGAAGCACTCTCCTCGTGACAGGGCACCATGTCAGTCATCCACATCAACAGCCATGACCCAGACAAAGGTTACTTCCAGATTGGAAACGACAAAGCGGATGCCGCAGCAAAAGGCGTATGGACGTTGCAAAGAGCTCATCAACTGCACGAGTTGCTCCACATCGGAGCCAAAGCACTGGCCAAGAGATGTGGAATCCCAACAGCGGACGCGAAACGTGGTAGCCACTTGCCCTTATTGCCAGAAGTCACCCCTATGGACCTGCGGGGTCAACCTGAGAGGTCTCAAGCCTTCAGAGATCTGGCAGTTGGACTTCACCTGGTGTCAACTGCTGAAGCCCCGAGCATGGCTTGCAGTGACAGTAGACACTTATAGTGGAACGATCATAGCCACACAGCACCCCAAAACAAACTCCAAGGTCACAATCCAGTGCTGGCTGACAGCCATGGCTTGGCTCGGTATTCCCAAGCAGATAAAAATGGAGAATGGTTCCAATTTCACCTCCAAACCAGCACAAGAATTCGCCTACAAATGGGGCATCACATTAGTGCAAGGTATCCTGTATAACAGTACCGGGCAGGCCATAGTTGATGGAGCAAATCAGACCCTGAAAACCAAGCTAGAAGTGTTGGCGAAAGCAGAGGGCTTTGCCAATTCCATTCCCCCAGGAGATCAGGCACGTATGCTGGCAACCGCTTTGCTGGCACTGAACCAATTCCCTAGGGGAGATGAAACAAACAGTCCCGTTCAAAAGCACTGGGCCACCCGAACGCTAGAGGAGAGCCCACAGGTGGTGATCAGAAACGAGCTGATGCTCACGGGGCGAGGGTACGCAGCTATCAAAAAGGATGGCAAAATCAGGTGGTGTCCACTTAAGTCAATCAAGCCCGAACTTCACAATGAGCGGAATGAGACTGATGAGAGTTGCGAGTTTGTGTTTACCGGACATGCTCGTGGGACGTCCTCGTGATGCGTACATCCCCATTCCAGAGGAAAGTGACAGACCACCAAGCCGCCAGGCAGCGCCCGAGAGACCCGCACGGGTGGGACCCAAGCATCAAAGGTGTTTCTGTGTGATTTTGCTGTTGGGGCTTGTCGCCAGAGGGCAAGCCAGCCCAAATCACTACCCCCATCGGCCATTCAGGTGGGTCATGCGAAACCTTAGTAGTGACAAAGTGCTCAAAGAAATCACCCCACCGAATGCCCCATTCTTCGTGTTCCGCATCACCGACCTGTTTCCAGGACAGCCAAAGGTAGACCCCCATTCCCCACACGCCACACACATGTACCTATCCTGCTGGTGCCCAGCTTCAAACCCTGGGAAAAGCTACTGCAATCACCCAGGGTGGCGACATTGTGGGCACTGGGGCTGCAAAACCATTGTCACAGATGCCAGACCGTCAGGGCCTGGGTGGGATCCACAAGAGCCCGACAAATTCTTACAGTTCACCTGGGCACCCACCAGTTGCAAAACACCCATCTTCCTCCACGGAAACTTTTATCGAAACCATCATAAAATCCCCAAATTTCGGAAATGCACAGACTACAACATGACAGTTTTGCAGCCAGATCACCCTAGCTGGGCCATAGGCAAAACGTGGACAGTAGTCCTTCAAGGGTCAAAAGAGAGGGTGAATGTGCGAATTATTAGGCTCCAACCTTCACCACCCCGAGCAGTCGGACCCAACAAAGTGATTAAAAGCGTGCCGAAAGGGAGAAATGCGACCCACCCCAAAGCCTTGCCCACAAGGGTCGCTGATATCCCGACCGGCCATGCGGAAGCCTTTCAGATAGGCCGTTCAGCCGAGTCAGACTCAGACCCAATCCTTCGTATGTTAGAAGCTACATTCCTATCCCTGAACGAATTTAACCCTAACCTAACCGAATCCTGCTTGCTTTGTTACGATGTCAAGCCTCCCTTTTACGAAGGAGTCGCTTTAAACACTCCCTTCAGTTACTCCACAGCAGATGCACCCAACCAATGTAGATGGGACACCCCCCGCAAAGGAATCACCCTGAGTCAAGTCACAGGCCGAGGCAGATGCTTTGGCAATGCAACCCTAGCTAGGCGGAAAGGCAACGTCTGCACCAAAGTTGTCAAACCCAACAGGAAAAACAATAAGTGGGTAGTCCCATCCGCATCTGGGATGTGAGTTTGCCAGTGATCTGGAGTGAGTCCGTGTGTGTTCCTTGCCAAATTCGATGACTCTAACGACTTTTGTGTCCAAGTTCTGATTGTTCCTAGGGTCCTGTACCACGCAGATGAAGAAGTGTATCACCTTTTTGAGGAACCCAGCCGGCTCCACAAAAGAGAAATAATAACAGGTATAACTATTGCAATGCTGCTCGGCCTGGGAGCAGCCGAGACGACCACAGGAGTCTCAGCCTTAGCGACACAGCACCAAGGACTGTCACAGCTGCAGGCAACAATTGACGAGGACCTGCAAAGGATCGAGAAATCCATCTTCTTTCTAGAGAAGTCAGTCTCCTCACTCTCAGAATTAGTCTTGCAGAACAGGCGAGGCCTGGACCTCCTGTTCATGCAGCAAGGGGGCCTGTGTGCCGCCTTGAAGGAGGAGTGCTGCTTCTATGCAGACCACATGGGAGTTGTGAGAGACTCCATGGCAGAAATCCGAAACAGACTGGCTCAGAGACAGAAAGACAGGGAAGCCCAACAGGGTTGGTTCGAGTCCTGGTTCAATCAATCACCATGGCTAACCACCCTAATTTCTACCCTAATAGGTCCATTGGCAATGCTACTTTTAGCTGTCACCTTCGGACCATGCCTGCTGAACAAGCTAGTCTCATTCGTTCAGACCCGCCTAGAACGGGCCAACATCCTGTTCATAGGCCGGCAGCAACTGCTGTGAATTCGACCAGGGAACACTGCCAGTCACAAGATCTTCTAAACTTGCCCGGCAAAAAACTTACCCAGGTTTACCAAACCCCTTTCTTTGTCAACAACCTCATGCCTCATCTCAGTACCTATGTATATGACTACCTCGTTCATTTGTGAAAAAGGGGGGGGGGAGATGTGGTAGATAGGGACAGGCGTTAGGAAGATCTCGCGATGTCACGGAAAGCAGCAGGATTCTTCTCCCCCTAACGCCTAGTGATAAGGGATCACCCAAGAATGTAGACCACCCTAACACTAGTAACTTTCCACTCCTTATTAACCAATCACAGTAAGGTAAGACCCCCTGACGTAGAGAAAAACCTCCCAGATTATAAAACCCCAAGAAATGGGGCAATAAAGGCCTTTGGATCGTCCACCATATTGGTGTCTGCATGCGTCTTTGGCCCGAGCGACCCTGGGCAGTGGGTCGCCATGCCGTTTCCTCAGAACCAGGTCGCCTTGCCTTGCATCAGAAGGCAACACCTTTCAGGTTAGTTTCTCTGTGTCTTCTATTGGGGTGGCTGTTGCCTCTATCACTTGCACACAGGCTGGCCACCCTCTGGCTACTGGATCTGGTAACTTGGAGAGAGATGCGACCGGCTTCCTGCATCCTCCCCAGTCCTTTGTAAGGACTCCGCAAGCTATCCCCTCTTCCACGTTTACCAATAGGTCAAAAATCTTTTAAAGGTCTGGTAGGCTCAGTACAGGGGCAGAGGACAATTTAGTTTTCAGATTCCGAAGCTGTTCCTCGTCATTTGAGGCCCAGGTTACATGCTCTGAGTCTATCAATTTTTCATATGGAAATTTAACGCTTTTAGTGATTTAATACTGATCAAGCCATAATCTGCAATACTCAAACAAACCTAATAATTTTCTAACATCTCTTTTGGTCTTTGGGGCAGGGATGGACAGAATTCCCAAAATTCAGGAGGCCACGAAAGGCTTAGACAAAATGAAAATGATTCACTATTGTATCGAAGTCTGGCCTAAGTTAAACCTGCAGGGGGAGTGGCCATGGTATGGGACAAGAGATCCATGGATGTGTTCCCAATTAAACCAACACCTGAAAACCCAAGAGAGTCCCAATCTTCAGCAGTTAACATATGCTGCATGTTGGCAGAGGGATACCACCAGCAATGTATAAAAATCTGTAAACTACAAAAACGGAAGGAAAATAATGAGGGGAGAGAAGAGGTTAGTGTTAAGTGGGACCCCCTTGATTACTTACCTCCTCCTCCATTCCCTCCTATTTACCTGG